ACAGTCAATTGCCTTTGCAGTAAACAAAAGCACAAATAGACATTCTTCTGGTATTCTTTACTTTCAGCCAAGATCCCTCTGACAGCTAAATAGTAAACCTGACTACAACAATATATTTAAAAAACAAAAAGATGCAAAGGAAATCAAGACTCTCAATGAGATAGACTGACACAATGCCTGTATTAACAGACTGAAGCATATCAAATATCCTAAGGATAGCACAGAGTACGGCAAGGTTTAGGTCTGTTATTTATAAGGTCACAGTGAGTCAGTCAATTTGATGGGACCTAACAACAACAAAATACAATTATAAGAAAAACAATGTATACAAACTCACTAAATAAACAAGTATAAAACAAATTTAAAAAAAAAAAGTATAGGGAGACCTAATGGCTTAGTCTACTGCACAGTTGTACTGCTAACCAAAAGGCTGTATACCTTTCTGGCAGTCTGAATTTATCAGCAGCTCTGCAGTATAAAGACAGGCAATTGTTTCTCATGCAATTTCAAGCCTCTGAAAAATCCCAAAAGAGATCTGAGTTGGTTTCAAATCAACAGCAAAAACAAAACAAAAAAACACATGTAATTAATGTAACATTACATAAATTTCTCATTGCTTTTTCCAATAGTTTCCAGTCCTGATGGAAAAGAATCAAAATTCACTTTTTGTATACTCAAACCTAGAAAGGACAAAATAACAAAAATTTAATAAAAAAGAATAAAAGGTAGTCTACTGATTGAATTATTTATGTCTGTAATTGATATGCTCAGGCATGCCTTTTTTTTTCATGCCTTCTATCTTTAAAGCATTTAATAATGGACTTTCAACATAAAAGATACCTCACAAGTGAATGAGGTAAAGTAACTCTCAGATTTATAAGTAAGTCTGTATAAAATAAATTCTGATTAACTTCTACTTCTTTTATAATAAAATCCAGTATCTGTAAAAGAACAGATAGAAGTTATTAAATATGTGCAATCTCTGATTTCCAGGTATCAGAAAGAATTTAAATTAAAATTATGATAAGCCATAAAATACAATTAAAACTGAGCAACAAAATGAAACAAAAAAACTGGCATTTACCTATAAAAGCGTCTGCCTTCCAGAACAGATAGCAATGGCAATAAAAATCTTTATCATCACTTCACAAATTTGAGGAAAATTCTTTCACTGATCTAAACTTGAGTGAGTAGCCTTGGGATAAGTTTTCACTCAATTGAAAACAACAAAAGATAACAACAAAAACACAAGTTCATTTCTAAGATCTCATAGTTCATTTACCAAAAAAAACTAAAATGAGGGGGAGGGGGTAGGCAGGGAGAAAAGTGCAACAATGAATGAATGGAAACCCTAAGTCTCTGTAAACTTTCATTAAAATCAATAAAAAAAATTAAATGAACACACCAAACATTTACATTTTACTATGTGATCAAGCCTAGCAAAACATGCGCTTAAAACATGTTCTCTAGAGGTCAAAAAACCACCACTATGTAGACAGGCCACTATAGGTAACAGGTGTATGCTAATACATTTTAGGAACACATTTTTCCCAGTTAGAATTCTGTTCATTCATTAGATATTCGCAGAGTCAATAACCTACCCATGGGAAAATATAGTCTTGCCAGCATCTTAAATATAAAGATCATATCATGGAAGGATTTCTGGTGACCTCAGTAGGTGAGAAATAAGCTGCATTCACTCCCTCACTACCGTCTAGTGGAAGTGACGACATCACTGACCTCGGGTGGGTTTCTAAGGCTGTAAATTGCACAGGAGATTGCCCATGGTGGACTCAAACCGCCAGAAAGGTGTGACCTTTGGGTTAGCAGTGTAATTCCCTATAGACTACACCAGCAGAAGGGGCATAAATACCTACATTACAAGATACAAAGTTTAAGTATCATGAAACACAGGCGGAGCTGCTACTACTTTACAGATACATAAACCTGTCACATTGTACAATAAAATTTCACTTCTTTAGCAAACTCTGGTGGCTTACTCCATAGGAAGTTGCATAGATAACCCAAATCCACCAGAGGCTCCTCCGGAGAGGGGCCATCTCTCCTGCGTGATTCACAGCCTCAGAAACCCAGTGTGGCTGGGTAGCTCTGGGTCGGTTGCCACTGGACATCACAGTGTTTTGTTGGTGGTGCTGGTTTTTTGAGCTACCTTTACACTCAACAATGAACTCTGGGAATGCAGATAGTCTCCTATATAGAAGAGGAAACTCAAATACTGAGGTCAGATCATTTACCATAATGTCACATAGTTACAAGATAAATCAAGACTCATACTAAGGCATTTTCTCCAGAAGAATGCATATTAGGACAAATATTTTTTTAAGAAAGAAGTGCATTTTACTCTGGCAAGTAATCACTTCACAAAGTATCTACTTATGTATATAATTGTTTGCCAATCAAATACATTACAGTATATATAACACATATAAGTATGAAGGTCAAGGTTAGTTTATATATACACTGTATTGATGTTTATTACTATGTATGCTTTAAAGCAAGGCAAAAATAAGTAAGTATTACAAATATTAAAATAAACTTCCACTGGATTAGAAGAAAATGAGCAAATGTTTTTAAAGTCTCTTTCTCAAGCAACTTGTGGCTATTAATTCTACTGTAATTTTTACTGGGTCTAAATATTATTCTAAAATTCATTCAGTAAAACCATTTTCTAAAAGCTACTTAAAACGAAACAATGTCATCAACTCTCCAATTATCCACAAGACAGTCACCTATGTTACCCGCGACATTGCTCACAGAGTGTTTAAGAAATGAATGAATCTTTTCAGGCATTTTAAAGTCCCAGGCCTGTTGCTCTTTTTCGCAGTCTCGTTTTGCCTCCTTCCTCCCCAGGGTGCACATGAAGAAAGTACACTTCAATACAACTAGAATAAAATAAATAAGGTAGCAAATGTGATGCAAGTAGACACCGAATTCTCAAAGATTAAAATTGCTCATTCCACTACTGTCCTCGGTCAACTGTTGCAGCCGCCCTGTGGCAAGCCAGCTCTCAGGGAAAATGGACACATCCTAAGCAAATACTTTTCCTAAACAGCGCTACGCCCGCACCTTTTCCCCTGTCTTTAATACAGGCCTACTCCTAAGTCCGGGACTTCAAAGAACTCCTTTTCTTCCCGTTAAAACTAATTACTACTCAGTTGTAGGCTCTCACGGTACACTGCTCGACCTCGCACAAAGCAGTATCAGTAATAAACAATGAAAGATAAGGGCTCTAGTCCTGGTCATTCTCGCCACTGCCCACTGCTCTCCAGGCACCCTGAGGTGCTCACAAAGGTGAAGCAGGAGCTCCCCACTCCCTGGTCTGCGCTGTCACCTCCCCAAGTCCTCCACACCCCAAGCCAGCCACCACGTCCGCCGAGCACTGCGCCCTGGCCGGCCGGGCCAGAGCGGACACGGCGCCTCTCCCCTCCTCCGGTCAGCCCTCCAGCCTCCGCCGCGCCCTGGCCATCGGACATCCTCCCCGAGCCCGGCCAGGACGCAGCCCTGTTCCCTCTCAACTCCGCCAGCCTGCCCTCGCTGGCCCTCGCTCCCGCTGGACTCGCCCCGCTGGCCACCGAAGCTTTCGGGAGGGCCCAACGCGGAGACAAGTCCCGACCCTGCCGGGCCGCGACGGCCCTCGCCTAGCGGCGCAGCCGTGCCTGTGGCCAGTGTCCAGCGCACCCTCGAGAGCCCCTGGGCCAGCGCGGACCCGGAGGCCGAGCTGCCCGAGCCAGGGCCTACTCACCGGGAGCGGGCGGAGCGTGCGAGCCGGCGCGCCCCTGGCTTGGGCAGCAGGGCGCGGCCCAGACGCGCGTCCTCACCCGGGGACCGCGTGCGGCGCCGCCGACCCGGAGCTCACGCCAGCCGCCGCCGCCGCCGCCGCTGCTTCGCCACCCCGGCCGCCATCTTGAGACACCCCTCTCCCTCCCTCAGCCAGGCTGCCGCGGCGAAGGCGGCTCCTGCGCCGGCTACTGCACGGCTCCTCCTCCTTCCGGGGGCCTGGGCAACCAGCTCCCTCCGCTGGCGACGCCGCTCCTACTGCACGCGAGCTCTTTGGGTCATGGCCCGCCTCGTGCCCTCACCTCGGTCTCGGTCGGGGGCGGTGCGCTCCCGCGGGCGGAGGGTGGTTGGCGCGCAACCCGGGCGGACCTGGCCGGCGCGCCCACCGCGAGCCACACCGAGCGATGCGCCCCGAGGCCTGACCTGGCATCGGGTAACCCCTCTGCGGAGCGGTGGGAACCCGCGCGCGGGAAATTAGCTGAAGCCCAAGGTGACAGACAACGCTGGACGTCCGGCAGCTGCTTTCTAGAACTCTCAAATGCAAAACCTATCAAGAGCTGGCTGAAATGCCAAAGTAGGCTGATTTGAAACACTTGGTCAATCCAAGGGAGTTTTCAAATGGAGCCTGGGACCCTCGCGACTACCATGCCGCTCTGCTTCACTCTTCTAGGGAAATGATGATTCCTTGCGACCACATCCTTTCCCTGTAGACAGTCTACCTCTCTGCATCCCAACATTAAGCAGAGAAAACAAACTTCTGCTTCGAACTGTTTTGGAAAGCTTCCATCCGCGTTTCCTACAAGACTTTATAAATCCCCTTAAACTCATACTTTAGGAGCTCTGGCAGCACAAGGATTAAGCACTTGGAAGCTCTTTGGTTGGAACCAACCAGCTGTTCTGTGGGTGAAAAGACATGGCACCTGCTTCCATAAAGACTGCAACCAAACGATCGTATGCGGCTCCGTTCAGCTTTGAAACCTATCAGGGGACAAGAAAATTTCGTAAAATGCTGCAAAAACAGAACCTGATAAAATGCTTTAGAGGTGTCTGTAGTCTGCCACTGCGAGAGCCCCAAGGTAAACCCACCGGTGTGGGCTGCTGGGCAGGTTTAACTGCGGAACAGTTTCCTGCCGGCCTCTTTGCCCACCGGAGCCTGAGGCGGCGGAATCCGGCCCTAGTGCGCAGGCGCGGCGTCTCTCAGCATGGCTGTAGTCTTTGTGTGTTTAGCAGTAGCAGCTCTAACGTGGGGTTTTCTCTTGGCTTGGACGACCCTGGACCTAATGCAAAGTAGGGAACCGTTAGGCCGACTGACAGCCCAAGGCCGGACTCTCCTGGTCATCGCGCACCCCGACGATGAAGCCATGTTCTTTGCTCCCACGGTGCTAGGCTTGACCCGTCTGAAGCATCAGCTGTCCTTGCTCTGTTTCTCCACAGGTAGGGGCGTGGAGGGAACGCGGGGCTGGGGTCCTCGGCTCTGTGTGTCATCCAGTTTTAGCCACCTTACGCCAGCGAGTGTTCGTGTGGAGAGAGCTTCGCGAATCCACTGAAGTTCTCTAGGCGCCTCACCCAGGGAATTGGGGAGCCTGGGCGAGGGTCAGGAGCAGCCTCGGGGAGGTCGGGGAGGAGCGCTCGGGGAGACTTTTTGTCTCCCAACGGGCAGTGCCGTTGTTGACTCCACTGGCCGCTAGCCATTTCGAGCAGATGAGAAAGGCCCAGAATTGTTTCCATTCGAAACCTCCGTTTCTGTTGAGAACTGCGACCGTCCGTACTCGTTATTTTGTGGAAGCTCTTTATTTGCACCTAGACCAAGAAAAATCTCCATATTGCATCGTGCCTGCGTAACTTCTAGTGATAACAGAGGACCTTCCTGCCGTTTTTAATATCATCTGTGTGCACCAAAAAAAAAAAATCGTGTCAAATAGAAGTGGACCTTATAAATCTTTGCACTAGAAGGTAGGTTTAGAGATAACCCAGTTCTTCTCTGCCAGGCTTCAGTGAATGGCCTTTGAAAGAGTTAATCTTCTCTTAAAATGCAGAATAAATATCAGTGCCTAACGATATATTAATGAAGTATGCATACTCTGGGGTAGTTTTATTGTGTGGACAATTTGTCTAAATAAAGCGGTTTTGTAAAATTGTCCAAGATCTCGCCGTGTTTTGTCTTGTGTTTTTCCGATTCTGTTCCTACTCCTTTTTCCCTGAAGTTACATTTTATACAATGTTCTATTCTTTTAATTTTAAACTGCTGCTCTTAGTGTAGTCTACCATATTCTTTTTATTACTATTATTGATTTACTTACAAAGTTTATATACATTATTACACACTATTCTTCATTGATACTGTGTTTCAGATAATCATTTTCATGCATTATGTTTATAAAATTAATCACATTTGGACTTTGCCCGTCATTACCCTGTCTTTTTTTGTCCGGATCCTTCCCATCTACTAGCCCTTCTCCACCCACCAAACTGTACAACCTTGTATGTAGTTTCACCCCTACCCATTCTCAGCCCTACCCCCTTGAATTCCCATACATGTTTCACTAGTTATCCTTCTGTGTTTACAATAATGGTCTTGTGCAGTGTTTGTCCTTATAAGATTGAGTTTGCTCAACGTAATGCTCTCCAGCCTCTCCCAACTTAGTATTTTGTGAAATAGTTGCTCCGGAGTGTGTCTGACTACTATAGCCTGCCACTGCGGGAATGCCAAACACATCAGCATTTCAAAAGGTTGGTTGGTTTTTTATTTCCCCAAAACATAATCTTCACTGCTTAAGAATAATTGTGGTAAATAACTCCTCTGTATCCTTATGCACAGACATCTTTATGTAAAGATCTCTTTATTGGTGCCTAAACTTTCTTGTTCCCTGTCCTTTAGGCAACCAGGGAAGGCAGGTGCTCTGGGTTCAGTTTTCTCTGGTATCTCTCTGGATTCATGCTTAACTGTGGTTTCAGGTCTATTAATATAATTTTTGTTTCTCTGCTAATTCAGCAATGTATTTTAAAACATGTTCATCTTTCCTTTTAAACTGTTCTATGCTGAGAGTTTCTTTAGACATCTGATCCAACATGTTTCCTAAAACAGAATTTAGCAAGTTATTTTTAATGTATTTTAATCAGGAATAATTTTTAAGGTATTCTTTATTAAGATATACTCACTCTCAAAGTGCTGTTCTTTGTTTTTTCTGATCCAATATAAGCATTCCTCCAAGATTTTGTTCAGACCACTGCATTACAATGAATATTGCAATAGGGAGTCACACAGTTTTTGGGGTGGGTTTTTTTTTTTACCATTACATAATAAAAGTTGTGTTTACACAATACTACAATGTTAAATGTGCAGTAGTGGTAGTGGTGTGTGTGCTGTTGAGTCTGAACTGACCCAAAGCTAACCCTTCTGTGAATTTTCAGAGTCAATTAATCACTTAGGAGGAGATTGCCCATCCTCCCGCAGAACAGCTGGTAGATTTGAACCTCATGCCTTCAGGATTGCAGCAATTTTTTTTTTTACTAGGCCACCAGAGCTTTGACAACATTTGAAATACTGTGAAAATTCCCAAAATTCAATACAGAGACACAAAGACAATACAGAGACATGTTGTTGGGGAAATTATGCCAATAGACTTGTTTGTGTCAGGATTGCCAAAGACCTTCAATCTGTGAAAAACATATGTCTGCAAAGGCCAGTAAAGTGGAGCATACCTATACATTTGTCAGGTAACCTTGTAGACATTCCCTATTTTGAACTAGCATAGTTTGTAATTTGTTATAAAAATGATTATTTTAGAACTTAAGACTGCTTTGAATTTTTATTGCTTAATAAGGTCAAAAATTTTAGTTTCTCATGTTGTTCTAAGGTACTGCTGAGCTGACTCTTAACTCAGTGACTTCAAACATGAGCAATGAAAGAAATGCCAATGAAACGTTGTTATTATTATGTACCATCAAGTCAACTTGTGACCCTATGAACAACAGTTCTGAAGCCTACCCTATCTTGAGACTTCTCACTGACTCCGACACACCTACCCCTGTAGTCCTATTTACTGTATCAGTCCATCTCATCTGGAGTCTTCCTCCTGTGCTGTCTCTCCATCCTTCCAAGCATGATATCCTTCTTCCAGGATCTGTCACAGGCCCAACGTATGTGAGACGGTGCTTCAAAATCCTAGGCTCTAAGGAAAAACTTGGTTTCACCCTCTCCAAGACAGACCGATTTGTTTTCTTGGCAGTCCATGGTATGTTAAAGACTCTTCTCCAGCACCACAATTTGAAAGCATCAATTCTTCTGTCATCCTTAGTCATTGTCCAGCTTTCTGATGCATAGCAAGTAATTGTGAAGACCATGGCCTGAATATCTCTAGACTGACGTACGTAGTTGCTTCTCAGTACTCTGGAAAGATCCCTGACAGCAGACTTCCCCATGCAATTTGTCTTTTGATTTCCTTGACTGCTGTTGCCAAGAGAGTTGATGTGGAGCCAAGCAAGCTGTAACTGTTAACAACCTAAATCTCTTCTCCATGGATGCATCATGGTGCTACCAGTTGACCCAGTGGTGAGAATCTTTGTCTTCTTTATTTTGAGCTTTAATCCATATTGAAGACTGCAGTCCTTGACCCTCTGCAGGAGGTGGCTCAGGTCCTCCTCATTTTCAGCAAGCAAGGTTGTGTCATCTGTATAACATAGGTTGTTGATGAGTCTTACCTCTAATTCTGTTGCCACATTCCTCTTCCTAAAACCAAGCCTCCCAAATGATCTGTTCTGCATATAGATTGAAAAGGTATGGACATAGGACACATCCCTGCTGTACTCCCTTCCTCATTTTGAACCATGCAGCGTTTCCTTGCTATGGTCTACGGACTGCCTCCTGTTTTGGATTCCCATTCTCAAGGTTATCCACAATTTGTTGTGATCAACACAGTCAAATGACTTTGAAATGAAATTAGTCAATGAAACACAGATAGATATCCCTCTGGTACTCTTTGCTTTCTGCCAAGATTCTTCTGACATTGGCGATAATGTCTCTAATGAACAATAGGGAAGATACCATTTCAAATACAAAAAAAATTTCAAGTTGACAAATACTGCCTATGAACAGTGACAAGGAAAGATACTATAGGAGAAAGAGCACTGCATTAGTACTCTCTGGTAGAAATATAGAATGGAAATCATAAGCAAATATACTTAGAAATGCATGGTACTGACTAACTTTTGTGCATGTAGCAAGGAGTTAAACACCATTCTCATGCGATGTATACTGCTCATTTGCAGCTGCTACAAATATGCCTGCCTGCCACGTTCAGGGGGAATTTTTATTATGTAATGACCATCTGCAAGTTACAGGTAAGAAAAACAAAGAAAGGGATTTTCATTAGTGAAAGTCAGTACTATGTAAGTTTTCCATGTTTACAATGTAGTTCTTTTAGGAATACAGAGTGAATGTAGTATTCAAAAATATGGATATATTTGTAATACTAAAAAACTGTATCTGCTGCCTTCTAATTGTTTCCAACTCACTAATTCTGTAGGACAAGGTAGAACTTCTAGCAGCATAGTGTTCCCAAGGCTATAAATCTACAATAGGAGCAGCCTATCACATCTTTCTTCTGTGGACGAGTGGATTCAAACTTCCAACCTTTCCATTAGCAGCCAAGTGTTCTAATCACTGTACCACTGGGGCTCCACTGATTGAAAATAGATTATAATAATGTTTCTTGATAGTGGCTCCATAGGTACAGGCTCAATAATTTAAAAAATTATTTTTACTATCCTTAAAGACACAATTTCTATTTTATACGAATAACCCAGACTTGAGTCGCATTAAGTGAAAATCCAGTTTCATGTTTAAATCATGGCTTTTCTGACTAGGTTCTATAAACACATGCTGATAGAAGTAGTTTCTACCTTCTTGGTTTGTGCTTCCTCTGGGAACCCCAGATGTCTTGGGGATTCAGATAATATTGTCTCCTCATTTTGTCTCCTGGGGTTGGTGATAATTTGGTTTTCACTCTTGCTAATTTCTGAGGCATTTCACTGCTTCGTAGGTGGCCCTTAGATCCTCCCTCTGAGAATGTAATAAATTTTTCTGTTGTGAACACTTGATAGGATTTCTATTATTCTGGATAGACTCTAATACAGAATTTAAGTTCGCTGTTAGGGACCTCTCCAAAGTACTGAAGAGAAATGGTGTCTCTCTGAAGACTAAGGTGCGTCGGATACAGGCCATGGTCTTTGCAATCACTTGTTACACATTAGAGAGTTGGACAGTGACTAAGAAGGATAGAAGGAGAATTGATGCCTTTGAGCTGTGGTGCTGGAGAAGAGTATTGAGGGTACCATGGACTGCTAGGAAAACAAACAGATTCATCCTGGAAAGGGTTAAACCGGGTGGCTCCTTGGAGGCAAGGATTCTGAGGCTCCGTCTAACATACTTTGGA